GGCAGCAGGAGGACCGGCCGCCCCATAGACCCCCCCGCGCACCACCACCGCCGCTTCCTTTGCTTGGGTGCTCCTCCGGCCTGACTTCCCCTTTCTCCCACCTTTCCCGGCACCGCGGGAAAAGCAGCGCAGGGCAGAGCAGGCAGGGAGGGCGGCCGGAGCCCGGACACGGGAGCCTCCTAGTCAGTTCAAGACCCGACATGAGGGAAAAGGGACGTAGGAAGAAGGGCAGGACCTGGGCGGAGGCCGCCAAGACGGTAAGGGGGAGGGAGCGGAGGGGAAGGCCGGGAGGATTTCATTCCCTTGCCGCCCGCCAGTAGCAGGGGAAGGGAGGTCACTGGTCCGGCGACCCGGCTGAGGGGGCGCAAAACCGCGGGAGAGGGCGGCGGTTAGTGCCGGGGTTGCGGTCCCTGTGGGAATGGAGGCGCTCAGCGGAAGGCGATCGCCGCGGGGCTGTGGCTTCTCCCGGCGTCTGCGATGAGTCCTCTTGGTGTTTTGAGGCTGTCTCGGGGTCACAGCGCTATCACCCCGGCTCCGTGGCGGCCCCCGCCCGGCACGGGGAAGTCTGGTGTGCTTGCACAGTAACCGGTTCTTCTCCCTTGTGCGGCTGGAGAGCCCCCATTGGATGCAGATAGGAGAAGGCTTGTGCGTGCAGCCAGCCCCGGAAAGAAGAGGGGTGCGCTGGAGCTTGATAGAAACTACCCGCTACGGCCGACATGCCGCCTGACCCCTGGCCCGCTGCTTATCTGGCTCTCGGAGCCGGCGTGAGATCACGAGGCTTTTGTTTTTGTTTGCTGCTGGAGCGGAAAGTGCAGGAGGTGTTTAGAAACGAAGTAACAGGTGGGACTTGTAGAATTTTTTTTTTTTCTGTTTCCGTAGAGACCTACTCTGAACAAGGCAGCAATGCATGGTGGGACGTGTAGTTTACCGGGCCTTCACTTTTTTCCTAGCCTAAGTGATGGTGGCTTCACGAAGTTGTAGTTAGTGGGCAAAACAAAAACTTTTCTCCTGATGGTGCTATAACTGAGTTTAGAGGTATGTTTTATAAATTGGGGTATTGAAGATTAATTAGCATTTTTATCGTCTTTTAAGAAAAGAATAAAAGCGCGTTTGTGTGTAGAAATGAAACGTTAGGAGAAAGTAAAGTTAATTCCTTCGTTGCAGCAGAAAAGTAATAGATCATTAAATATCGGCATTTCAATAGTGGGAAATGAGAGGTGTTCACCTCTTCAATAGTAAATCATGTCAGTAATACTTGGAAAACATGGAGAGCCCTTCTAAGTGAACCCTGTCATATGGTTTATTTTTTAAGTGAGATTTTTCTGAATGCTAAAGGTATGTTCACTGTGGGGGAAATTTGGGAAATTATATAAAAGTACCAAGAAAAAATCAGGTATTTCACTATTCAGCTGTTTTCTGTTAACATTTGGTATATTACCCTCTCTTTATTTCCTCAAATCTGGGTCATACTGTTTATTCAGTCTTGTGCTTTTGTTTTGTAAACTTTGTGCATTTGTTTTGTAAACTTTATGCATTAGGGGGTTGATGAGTCTTCAACTTGTATTTCTGTTTTAGTTTGTAATGTGAAAAAGTGAAGAAATAATGGCAAGCAGACTCCCAACTCTATTGTGTTAATTAATTGTAAGTCTCTAGAATCTTTTTTTTTTTTGAGTTGGAGTCTCACTCTTGTCGCCCAGGCTGGAGTGCAGTGGCACGCTCACGGTCACCGCAGCCTCAACCTACTGGGCTTGGGCGATTCTTCCACCTCAGCCTTCCAAGCAACTGGAACTGCAGATGCATGCCACCACGCCCATCTAGTTTTTGTGATTTTTATTACAGAGACAAGGTCTCACCAAGTTGCCCAGGCTGATCTCCAACCCGCAGGATCAGGAAATCCACTGGCCTGAGCCTCCCAAAGTGCTGGGCTTACAGGCTGAGCCACTGCATCCGGCCAAGTCTCTAGAATATATATACATATATTTTTAATTTAATTGTAGAGCTGAAGTCTCACCAAGTTGCCCAGGCTAGTCTTGAACCCGTGGGCTCAAGCAATCCTCTCACTTAGGCCTCCTGAAGTACTGGGATTATAGGTGTGATCCCACCGTGTCTGGCCTAGACTCTTTTTTTTTTTTTTTTTGAGTTGGAGTCTGTCGCCCAGACTGAGTGCAGTGGCCGCTCCCGGCCACCGCAGCCTCGATCCGGGCTCCGACGATCCTTCCGCCTCAGCCTTGCAAGTAGCCGGAATTACAGGCGCGCGTTACCACGCCCAGCTGATTTTTTGATTTATTGTAGAGATGAGGTCTCGCTGCCCAGGCGGGTCTCAAACCCGCGAGCTCAGGCAATCCACTTACCTCAGCCTCCCAAAGGCGCGGGATTACAGGCTGAGCCACCGAGCCCGGCCTGGCCTAGACTCATAAGAGTACTCTTTGAATTGTGATCCCTTTGGATGAAAAAGCTTAATTATTATTATTTTTATTTATTATTTATTTTTTTTTGAGTTGGAGTCTCACTCTGTCGCCCAGACTGGAGTGTAATGGCCGCTCCCGGCCACCACAGCCTCGACCTGCTGGGCTCCAGCGATCCTTCCGCCTCAGCCTTTCAAGTAGCCTTTCAAGTAGCCGGAATTACAGGCATGTGCTACCACGCCCAGCTGATTTTTTGATTTATTGTAGAGATGATGTCTCGCTGCCCAGGTGGTTCTCGAACCCGCAGGCTCAGGCAATCCACTCACCTTCAGCCTCCCAAAGGTGTAGGATTACAGGCTGAGCCACTGAGCCCGGCTGAAAAAGCTTAATTATTGAGAGGTTGTGACAAATAGAAAAAATTAGCCTGCATCTACTGTTTAGATTTTCCTATACTAAATTAGTGTATTTGCTCATTTCATACCCTAGCTAGCTATGTACAAAATAGTATTTAAGAACTGGGTAGATGGGAAGTCTGGTTTGATGAATGAGGTTCTGAGTGAGTTTTTGAGAGGACCAGTATATTAGTAGCTTCATATTTTTATTTGGTTCTGGCAACTATATAAAGCCCCAGTCTAAGTGAAAATGAATTTTAGAAAGAGAATGGTGACACTAAAACTTTCTACCCTTTGGGGGTTGTTTTAATATATATAGAGTAAAGGTATTAAACTAAATCTCAGTGTTCAAAAGGTTTCTGTAAGGGGAAATAGAAGAAATAGAAGTAAAAGGGGGAGGACTAGACAAAGGTACATCTTTAATATTTCAGACTGCCAGGCTCGGTGGCTTAGCCTGTAATCCCGTGCCTTTGGGAGGCTGAGGTGAGTGGATTGCCTGAGCCCACGGGTTCGAGACCCGCCTGGGCAGCGAGACCTCATCTCTACAATAAATCAAAAAATCAGCTGGGCTTGGTAACGCATGCCTGTAATTCCGGCTACTTG